CTGGATAAACAGAAAATATTCGGCATGTTAGTTGGTAAGATCCAAATAATTAAAAAGGGGACTGAGTAGGAATAAGAAACATATACACCAAAAATTTCTTGAATAATGTTGGTAAAGAGACACGTTAAAAACAATAATTAAATTTGTCGACTCTCTAACCTGTTGAACTTATGCTTTAAGATGATGTGATTCAACCTAAAAGAACACATAAAGGTCTTGCGCATTGGAATGATTCATGTAAATAACATAATTGAAATCATTCTTGTAGCAGTTTAAAGTCATTGGTTGATATTCTGGGATACCTGAACTTACTAACTCAAAGGAAAAAACAATAATGCAGTAATTAAAGAGAGAAACGAGGGAAGTTTACTAAGGAAGAGGTTTTAAAGAACTTTCCACCAAATATTAGTAAAGAAAGCATACTATCCCAAAATTTACCTGCAAAAGTGGCACAGACCCAAGAATCCTAAGCTTGAATTGAATAAACTAAACAAAAAAGAAAAAAATTACCTTAACTATTTCTTCAACCTTCAAAAGATTTTCAGACAGATTTGTGATGTTGTGTGTAAAAAATTTATCAGTTTCTGGTCCCTAGATTCTAGTCTATATCTCCCTTTGTACACCAAAAAACTCTGCTTTCCTACATTCTTTTTTTCTTTTTTACAGTTTTTATCTGTTGGGTTGTGGGTATTGAACTTTGAATCTGTCTCTTGCTTGCAAAAGATTATTACATTTTTATTTTAGGTGCTGGCCTTTTAGCTTTTGTGTACTTATAATTTACTTATCTTTTGATATGATGATTGATTATGAAAGGTATATGTTATATGAGAGGCAGGCAGGTTGGGCAATTGTGTACTCAATGGCTTTGGCTAACTTCAGCTAACTTTACTTCAATAGCAAGACTATTTTGCATAGAAATGAAATTTCTTTTCCCCACCCACTACAGCTGTTAGGTTGATCAGTTGAATCTTTCTTTTCTTTTGTTTTTTATTATATTTTCTTATTCATTATTATTAGGTTAATGTGAAAATGATGTTTATTTGTTTAACGACAAAGTGATGAATAAGGTGGCCACCTGAGTGGTGCTTTGATAAATGAGAAATGCGACATGATATGATTTGTATAGCATTTTTTAAATATTAGGGCGGGGAAATTAATGGTAGATAGAATATACACAAAATTAGGAAACTTGATTTTTTTTCAAAGTAGAAATATGTTGTGTTTTGGGCTGCCTCACTATTCTGGTTTTGGGTCTCTCCGTTTGTCATTGGGCTTTGTTGTATTGGGCCACCGAGTTTTTACTTTGATAAAACAAGGTTTTTTTGGAAATGCGATTTCTGCCTTAAGTGGTTGATTGTACAAAAACTGTGTATATTTTAGGGTTTTCTTCATCTTCTCTCTCAATGCTTAAACTCTTCATCTTCTTCGTGTTTTTCGGTTTCAATCTCTGTAAAATCTTAGTGATTTTTCTTGGTTGTATTTGGTGTACAATCTTAGAGATTGTGAGGTGAGTATCTTCGTGTAAGAGAGGCGAAAGCAAATTAGATTGAAGAATTCTTCATATATTTTTTGTATCGTTCTTCATGATTTTTAGTAGATTCGAGCAGAATCTACTTTGTAAATGCTCAACAGGTGAGTAGGTTTTTGGCTAAACATTCGAGCCCTAAGGGGGAAAAAAATCATGCGTTCTTCCATTTTCTGCAATTTTAAAGTTCTTGACAAACGTTTTATTATGCAAGCTATGATCTTGAAACCAATAAGTTGCATCAGAGTTTCTTTCTAATGATTAGGGTTGGCGTTGTGTTCTTCTTTAAAACCCTACTTTGCATATCTAAACATTTTTGACATTTCTAGAAGTTTCTTGGAAAAATAAATTGTGTTTTTCTGAAGGTTTTGGTCATAATCTACTTTCGATCCATTTTTTGATTGGATCTCTTTAAAGATTTTAGGTATCCTTAGTGTTCAATCTTTAAAGTTTATGTTAGATGATCATTCTTTTGAAAAACTCACTTGATTTTGATCTGAAAAATTGTGTTTTTACTAAGTTTTCTGGAGGTTTGTTCTTGACTCACTACTGAGTTGTGGTGTTCTTTGGAAACTCATTCTAAGGGTTAGTGATTTGACTTGACCCACTCCGATTTTTGCAGTTTCTATTAAATCACTGTTGAGTCACACTGAGTTGCTATGACTCTTGGGTTCTTATTTACCATTCTGGATTTTTGAACTGGTTCTATCATTCTCTTATTACTCTCTACACTCTAAAACATTGAGGTTTCAGCTCTGGTATAATCTTTCATACTCTTACACTTTTCAGTAAATTATTGAATTGTTTGTGCGTTTTATTTGATTTGGTTATTAAAGTAAAAGTATCTAATACTACTTTTCTTTGTTCAAGATCTCCTATGAGGATCTGAGAATCTAAGGGAGTAGTGTATCAAATTATCTCCACTCCTTAAACCTGTCAAGTTGACAATCCAATTTGATAATTAACTGTTTGTTCTTGATCATACTTGCTATTTTCTGCATAATTCTACACTCTGTATTGTATACACCTAAATAGTGTATGGACTTTGTAGAGCTATTGTAAAGTAAGCCTAACATTACATTGGAAGATTTAGAATTTGGAAAAATTCATTTTGCCCTATCATTAAAGAAGATTTCACACTTTACTATGTAATGGAAATATTACTATAGGAACTAACTTATATTTAATTTACTTTTAACAATTCTAACATCGAAATATACGTCCCAAACCACATTCGCAACTCACATATATTGAATTAAGTAGACTTCATGTTGGACATTAATACATCTTTCATTTTTAATCATGAAAACAAAAGAAAAATGTTGGAGACACCCACTTTTCTAGAGAACATACTGAACATCTTCATTCTCTGAATCTATCTATCAATATACGTCTTTTGAGACATTGGTGGATTGTGGTGCAGATTTCATACAAGATAATTTGGGATTTCCTCGAGATTAAATTTGCAATTTACTTTGTGATATTGAAGTAGTGATTTATGATATGCAATTAGCCAAACATCGACTACTATCGTTATATTTTCGAATAGAAATAAATCCTATTATCCATACGTAATATTATCATTTGTAATTTGAAATTTTTACTGATTACATGATTTTTTACTAAGACATCTGATATTGTCATTTGTATATTGCCGCCTTCGAAATAAAATTTGGCAACAAATTATTGATATCCATCTTCATTGATATGAATTATGTGACTCTGTGCTTTAAACGATTTAATATGTGAAACAATGTTGGGGGAATTCATCCCAGCAAATATTGCTTTCTTCATTCTACACATGGTGACATTTTCAGTGATTTTCTTGAGATGCATAATGAGGTTGGAATGGGATATTACACCAATTAAGGGGTTACCAATGTGGGGAATTTATTAGAAGAGCTTGTTTGGAGGAGTGAAATTGGGCATCGTATAAATTACCTGTTGAATTGATTGTTATTTCAGTTTTTTGATTTTATTGTGATAATAAAGTATTTATGGTGAAAAAAAAGTTCAAAAGTAATATTTGAATATTAAAAAAAAGTTGAACCCCAATTTTGAGGGCCCCCATCGTCCTGTCCTTAGAGCTTTGTGAGGGAGGTAAATCGCTGGATGTGCTCTAACAAGTCAGAGAAAAAGAGCTGCATGTACACTGCGCCTACAAGGAGTCCAACTCCATGTTTCAGGAATCGAACCCCCATACTACGGTTGCCAGCAAGGTATGAGATAACCTCACTTCCGTCCTTTGCACCACTAGGCTATGCCCCGAGGGGTAATATTTGAATATTAATTATATGATAGGTGTGTGGGGTTTAATTTCCACTAGAACTTTAACCACTATGGAATTAGCACTCATAAAATCGACTAATTATATATGGAAATAGCACTGAAGAGTACTGCGGCACAGGAAATGAAGAAGTAATCTGAAAAAAAAGCTCATCAAGTCAAGTTCAGAGAGAAAAGTCAGCCTACCTATCAAATTTGAGCTGGCCATTCTACCTAATTGTGACATTCCGAATATTGTTTAAACTAAAATTTCGTTGCCATTAACTTGTACAGTTTGATTAAAACAAAAATGGCAAAGAATCGCCCATCAAACTAAATAAACAATCCACAGGCAAATTCTAATGATGAAGAGGAAGAAACAACACACATTTACTTTCTTCTTTAATGCTCCTGTTGTTATTGTTCCTTCTCATCCTCGTCCTCATCCTCGGCTAAAACAACCATTTTACTCAAAGGACTCGGCCCAAGTTTCTTTCTTCTCATAGAGCTTCTTCTCCTAATAATTTCCATCTCATTCCTTCTTCTAACTTGCATCATTGCTTCTTCTTCGATAACAAATCTCCTCATTAAAACATCATCTGTCAAAGATTTTCCGCGAAAAATTCTCCTTCCTTCTGTGCTCATTCTTGCACTAGGGGTTCTTTCCTCTGAGATGGCTGGAAAAGGGTTTGAAGAATATCTCGGATAACTGTAACTTCTTCTTGGTGCAAAATCAGTTTGAAACACTTCTGCGTAAGGAGAGATTGGTGCACATAAACAAGCTCGAGTAAACGTAGTAGCTAATCTTACAGATTTGCATTTCCTTAGCTTCTGCTTATTGGAATTTGCTGTCGAAATTTCTGTTGTTTTCGAATTTGTTTTCCACATAGAGCCATTTTTTGTAGGAATTTCGGCAGATTTTAGAAAGGGTCTCCACTGTGTGGCCATTTGCATTGCTCTTTGGTACCAAGGCTTCCTACAACATCAGACATGGATATAGTGTGTTAATTACTCTATACGTTGTGGATTTGTTAGTATAAGAATGTAATATAAACTTTGTAACTTTTGGAAAAACTAAATATGTGCTCGATAATGAGGAGTGGAGCATGACGAGGTCCAAAAGTATAGTCTACGTCCCAGATCATTGGACTAGTTAAATTTCTAGAGATTCCAACAAATATTGAACTTTTTTTCTTGAACTTGACTTATCAAATCAAATTTTCGATCAAAAGCCTAGTACGTAGGTGGGGACGAGACATGAACCTTGTTCTTCTCCGAGCTCTGATATTGTGTACGAAGGGGGGAGGGAGAGGGAGAGGGAGAGAGAGATGTTACCTTGATCGTGAGTTGTTTGGATCTTGCATGAACAAAGCAGATAATGTTTGTGAGAGAGATGGAGAAAGACAGTAAAGAAGCTCATTTGGATTTGGGTTAGAAGTAGAAATGTTTGTTGGTTGGTTGGCAATACGACTTTCTTTTCCTTTTCTCTCTTCTTTATTAATTATACTTGCGCTCCTTTTGCTTTTGCAGGCATGATTCCTTCCTACAATTAAATTCAAATTTCAATGGCAAAGTTATGTTCTACTTTTAGCCAAAATTACCAAATTCACCCTCATATCATACGCTTGTTAATCTCATTTTCTATTTCTCATTCTAAATAACTCAATAAGATTCATATAACTTACTTCAAAGTAAGGACCCAAATGAATAGTGTTTATGGTGGACTCCAGAATTCCTGTGCCTCACCATGAGTAATATGGGACTAGATAGTGCATCTTCTATTACATATAGCTTGTGAAAAAGTGATTAGGGACCCGTTTGGTAGGACTTTTGAAGAGTTAAAAGATGCTTATGAGATTAAGAAGTTATTTTCGAACATGTTTAGACAATTTTCTAGAATTATCTGTCTGGCTAAAAGAACTTTTAAAGGAAGTTGGTTTAAAATAACTTTTTCAGAAAGTGTTATCCAAGAATTAGAAGCTTTGCCAAACGTCCCTAAATCTCCCTACATCGCCTTCCATACAGAAAATGTTTGATTTTCCCCATACGTTGATTAGATAGATGTGGTGCCAAGCATACCTTTTGAGGTATAGCCTTAAGTCCTAAACTTTAATGCATCACATGTTATGATAGCCAGCATATGAAATGAGTTGGTACCCTTATGTGTACTAAAAGCTGGCTTGAAACAATCATAGAAGATGAACTTGTGCATGCTTTCAATTATGTCTTACTCTCTGAAGCAATAAGAGAAGTAATGACCAATTAATTAAGTTGGGTTTATGGAAAAACATATTTGAACACAAGCTCGAATTAGTCGTGTAGTCAAACCTTAATAAACTAATAAGATTGCCGCCCATAAACCAGTTTCTAATAATCATTCTAAGCTAAAATTTTCTTCCAAGTATCATTTCAAGTTACATGTAAGTCATGTTAATGGATAACAACATCCCGAGTAATTCTTTTCATTGTGTTCAATCCATAAGCCCAAAAGCTGCTTCAAATGCCAGAAGACATGATTATGCACATGCTAGATGAGGGATGGTCATTTTCCCAAAATAATATACACAATCTCGTGTGACACAGAAGTGCCCAATAGGCTCGAGATTATAAAGAGAAACACTTACATGGTAATCTCGGCCATGCCACATGCTGCCTAGCACAAGTGTGGTTATCTAAAATGGATTCTCTCCTTTGTAATGAATGTCGAACCTGTATGCCCCATTGACTAAAAGATTAACGTTCTCAAGTTTAAAGAGTTGGAAAAAAAAAAGGAACTTTTCTTTTAATTCTTGTTTATTCATGAAGAATCCAAGATCAAAGAGTTGTACGAAAGGGGAACAAAATCTTCATTCATGGTGGTTCCTTTTAAGTGCCTCTTAAAGGATTGAATTCTAATCATGTGAGATGTGAATGAAAATTACTTTAGAGGTTGGCCTCAAGTGGACAGTACATAAGTGAACAATGCAAATTGAATCTCACACAAACCTTGTTGGGGCTAGGGCCGAATCTGGTGACTATCGAAGGTCATATAATTATATTTTTAGCCACGTTCAATGATTTGATAAATCCAAAATCTTATGATATGTATAGTGTGCTATTTAATTGAAAAAAAAAAATCATTATTTTGTCTGAGTCTCTCGGAGTTCTAAATGACTTGTGAAAGTAAGACTTGACACTGAGATGAAACTTTTTCTTCCCTCAAGTGTACAAATTATGAACTGAAAAGTTGAAAAGAAAAAAGAGCTATAAATGAAGAAGACTGCAAGAAATAAAAGAACTCACAATTTCTTTCGGCTTGGCAGAAGCAATAGTTTTTTGACCAACAAAAACCTAAACATCTTTGGATTATATTTTTGTGGTATACAATAGATCAAAAGGGAACTTGGCTGACCTCAACGAATTTAAGTGAAAATGTTAATTCTTATAAATTTTTGTTTACGTCTTGTTGTTCATATTTTCCCGTAACTCGTTAAAATACTACACCGCAAGTGCAATGACGGATGCAAATATTTAGAGTTAGTGGGACACAATTAAATTTATTAGGAAGTTACAAAAAAATTTATATTTTCTACAAAAACACATAGACATGATCACTATTGTAGATTCACAAATCTCGTATATATGATAAATAACAATTCTCAAAGAATTTCAAATAATCTTACATGTATGATGAATAAAATTTTTTAAAGAATTTTCAAATTAAATATTACAAATGACAAAATAATTTTAACTCCCACTCTATCAATTGCTCGGTCATTGTTGAAACTCTATTTTAATAAAAAGCCCAACTGTCAATATTGTCCAATTCTAATTTTTGGTTCTTAAAAAAAAAGTCCAACTTGAAGCTGGTGGGTCGAGTGACCCACTAGGACCTTGTGTAGGTCCGCCAATGCGCAAGTGCACGGGTCGTATACAAGTAATAAAGTGGACATTTTGAGTTCGAATTGTCGATCCATCAAAGAATGTATTCTTTCAATTACACAACTCTAATTAATTTAATTCTAACAATAAAAATAAACACACGCAATTAAAGATTTGATTTTAAATAAGGAAATTAACTAAAAACATACAAAATAAGAAAATGTAAAAATCTTGGAAATTTCGGAAGCAAGCGAGGTTGGAATTCATGGTTTCGCTTAACCGTCGCCTAATTAATTTCTTCACGAACCAATTTACAAATTACTCATTTACTATGTTAGACCCGATCTTTCAATTTTATTTAATTACATCTCTTGAGCGAAATTAACTCTAATTTATTGGTTTAATCTACTATATTTCTACGTCGATTAAAACTAAAAAATCGCATTAAATCTTTGTGAAAATAACTCAATCGGTCACCTAGAGTTAGGAGTATATCTCTATCCCATACACAAATTTAGAGTTTCTACTATTTGGTCTAAAATGCGCAATTTTCTCTCAAAAGATGTACAAGTCACTTAACATAATCATTTATTGGCTACATAAATGAAAATGCATGAAATACAATAGTAGGAACACATGAAAATAAGCAACTTAATATTAAAGAGCAAATATTAAAATTAATCAAGGCTAGGTTAATCTACAACCATAAATCCCAACACAAATAATTTAGTCCATTTTATATATATGATAGCAAAGGAGAATATTCATACAATACATTACAAATATGGCAAAATAATCGAGAAAATTCAAGATTCAAAGATAAAAACCCTTTTCGAAACTTGAACTTGATTTTCCCAAATATTTCTCTGCTTCTTGATTGAATCTCCTTTGTGCGCTCTATAGTTTTCCCCAAAACACTAAGAAAATGGAAGGAAAAAGAAGAAGAAAGAAAGAAAAAGAAGAGGTAAGAAAAGAAAAGTAAAGAAAAATGAAAGAGGAAGAAAAAGACCCCCAAAAAAAAAAAATCCCTGGAAAATGATCAAAAATCGATATTTAAATGGCCAAAAATCGTCTAAAGTGAAATTGAGGAAGAAGTCCCAAAAATTACACGAAATAGGCAAAATTCGCCCAATCGGAAAGCGGCGCGTAAGCGCGGGCATTCGTCCCCCGCGTGCACCATGAAACCCTTTTGGTCTCAATAAATCACCAATGGCTTCTCGCCCGCGCACCATAATAAGCCTACACGCGAGTGCTGGCTTTCTTCATTTCCTTTTCCAATTTAGTCCTTCATTTGATTGCACACAAGGCCCCTCAACTTTGATCATGTACAATTTGGTCCCCATAATTTGATTTTCATCACTTTTTGCCCACCAAAATTGCAACCAAAGGTCCCTAACTTTTGGCACTTGTGCACTTTGGTCCCCAACTTCATATTTTTGTACACTTTCCATCCATTTTCACTCTATTTTGTCTTGTTCTCTTTTTTTGGGTGATTTTTACCTACAAAAACAATAATTATATAATTGTGAATAGAATTCTATTCATTTAATCACTAATAATATATTTGGATATTAAATAAGTGCGTAAAAACTAACTTATCAAACAGTACCATTAACAAGTAACAATGTAGCGAGTATAGTATCATCCCCCGAGGATTGATTGCTTGATTTCACCTTATATAAAGTAATCGTAACAAGTTTGATTTTAAAATTAAGCTTTTCTTTTTTCAACTAAAATAAGTATATTCATGCTAATGGAGAAAGCAAATATCGAGGTGGAAATCAATTAAGGAAATAATTAAGAATTCTTATTTCACTAATTGACCCTACTCATGTTTAATTCATGCTAATGGAGAAAGCAATTATTGTGTTGCCAACCATTAAATCCAAGAGAAAATATAAATTTTTATTTTTTCGAGTACTAATTAACATATTCCGGAATATCAAACTTCTCTTCTCAACTAATAGTTTCATAAAAGTGATACATAAAAACATAGGACAACCACATGAATAAGTAAATTTCTAATCTAACGAAAAATTCGTTAAAAGCAAGATTGTGTGTTCTAACATACAATCTCTCGATTTCACGTGTAACCAATATCATGTAGTTTAATTCTCATTAACAAAAATGAAAATAATTCAATCATGCTAATCCAAAAAAAAAAAAAAAACCCTAGAATTGATTTAAAACATGAGTAAAAATTAATTACCTAAATCTATCATTTGACCAAATAATCTAGTCAAAAAAATGATGAAGAACTAAAACACGAAGGGCTCGGGGGCAGAAGATGGTCAAAGTACTTGGTATAACAGGAAAAATTCGTGGTTCAAATCTCATCACCAGAACTTAGAAAAACTGTGCATGTATTCAAACCTTTGATGCTTAGTCTGCATGTGTGAGGAGCATGTTGAATACAAAATTTAAAAAACTAAATTCGCTCCCTTTGCAATATGTTAAGCTTTGAGATGAGGTTCTACAACTCCTCTTGATTTTTGACTCATTGGATATTTTTCAATGTGTAGAAGAAGCAAACATACTTGATGCTCTTTGTAATCCAGTCTGCGTGGATATTAAATCTTTGGTTTCCCTTATTTGGTGATTTTTGTTACAAGATTGTTTTTTATTTTATTTTTTTCTCTTCTAATTTTAACTAAAAATAAGGGTGTAATGGTCTTTTCAACCAGAAATTGGCAAATTGGATGGAATATGTTATTGAGACCAGTAATGCTATGCAGTTAAAAAGTTGGAGACGATAATGTCAAGACATAGGTTGGAACCAAGTTGCAACAAGATCCATTGGTTGAGGATTGATGATGTAATTTCCCCTTCTATTTCCCTACTAGGGAATGTGGAGACAATGTTGAAGTGAATAGTATTTTAATCCATTTTATTTTACTGTAACTTTTTTTTTCAAGTGGAGGAGCAAAACGATGTCGTTTGCCTTGTCTGATATATATTTTATTATACAGTACAAAGAGGCAATCTAAATTAACTGCAACACGCAACTTTTCATACCTTCCACCAAATCTCATCTCTTCATTTTGTGCTCAACCACTATTATATAAATATATATAGTAGGGATATAAGAAAAAAATCACTTTTATGTAAAAAAAAAAAATTTAAAAATAAAGATATCTATCGACAATATAAGACAGAAAATATTTTACAAAAATTTACTTGCAAGTAAAAAATTTGGAGAGAAAAGAATTTTAAATTTAAAAAAATTATTTATAACGTAAACACAGCAAAAAAATAAAATAAAATAAAATTTCTAAAATCTTTTCATGCATGGAGACACGGAGACAAAATGTCTCCATGCATGGAGATATATATAATTTTTTATTTTTATTTTTACATTATAAAAGTAATTTTTTTTTTCGGTTTAAAATTCCTTTTAACTCTTTTCTCTTCATAATAAAAATTAATTTTTCAATTTTAACTAAATAATATTTATATATTCTTTATTTAATTTTTGTAACTTTTTTTATTTTGTTTTTATTATATATTTTTTTAAAATTGTTTTAAAATTTCTTTTTTTCTTCGTATTATAAATATTTTTTTTCGATTTAAAATTCTTCTTAATTCTTTTCGTTTAAAAAACAATTCTTTTTGCATTTAACCTTAGTTTCACTTTTACTCTGCGTTGCTACGATACTGATTTCTCTCGGCCTTTAACCTTAATTTCAATCTCTCTCTCTCGATTGGTCCAAAAATACCCAACAACTTCACGCAAAATTGAGACGATTACCTGTATACTCAATCTTCAAAATCTTCAATTTCTTCTGTTGTATATTTTACTGCTAAATGTTGATTTTTGTTTTTTGTGAGATTTAACAGATTACTCTCAAATATCGTGAAATC